TACTTCTTATCCTTGTTTGAATTGGTTGGGTGAATCTTACTTGTTGATTAACGACCGGCAATTAAACAGTCTTAAAATTAGCGATCATGTTTGAAAAAAGCCCGGGCGAGAAAAAATCACTCCTGAACTAATTCAAAGACTAGTTAAAAAAATGAACAATGATCGTTTTGTCCCCGAAGGGAGGAAGGATAATAAAGAATTTTTTAAATTAGAGCCGGTTTGGGACAAAGGCAAAAGTTATAAGTTGATTTGATATTTAAAAGACCATGATAATTCATTGTGAATTAAGACCTGTCATCGTACTAAAAAGAAATATAAAGAGTATGAAAAAAAATAAAGATTTTTCTCATTTAACCGAAGAAGAAATAATAACTCGAATCGCGAGTGATAACTACGAAGGGGGGAATATTGGTTTACCGGCGAATCCAACTTTAGAGGAAAAAACTAAATACAAACTTTGTAAGTCTATTTTGGCTTATCAACAAAGAAATAAATTACCTTTAGAAAGATTAGCAGAAAAATTAGCCATTAGCGAAGAAGAATTATATGATATTTGCCGCGGAAAGATTAATGATTTCTCAGTGGCCCGCTTGATATCTTACTTAGAAATATTAACCCCCAACTATGAATTATTAGTAATTGAAAATAAAGAAACAAAAAGAGAAAATCAAATTAGGTAATAAGCTTTTAGAAAGATGCAATTTCATCACTTTTTACTTCTTAAAGAAAATTTTTCTTCCCTGCACATAACAAAACCCGGCGAAAACTACAATTGCCAACAGGAAAGCTATTCCTAGCACTCGACTCGGTCAATCTGGTTTTTCTTCCTGAATAATCTTGAAAGGAACTGCATCTTCGTTAACCGGTTGCTCCACAATTGTGCTATTTTCTGCTTGGGAACTAGGATCTACAACTAAAATTTTTCTAACCTTCGATAAGATTTCGGAGTGGTTTTTTTCTTGAGAAGTGGATGGGTAACCAAAACTTTGGGCCAGATTGCATTGCGGGCATTGGCCTTGGGGATTGCGGTGAGGACATTTCTCTATGTACTTTCGCTGACATTCGCAATGATGAGGAGCCGAATTACATTTTTTACAGCGTTTATTTCAAGTCATAGTTAATTATTCTTTAGAGAATTCTTTTTCGAGTGACTGCGGGAGAGTTTTGGGAGTAGGTTTGGCTTCCTTATCCTTAATCACGGCAGCTAGCTGAGCTTGCAAAAGCTTCCCCCGAACTTCTTTGAGTTCTTCTCGTAATTCTTGAAGCTTATTGATTTCCTTCCGACCAAAAATACGATATCAAATGGCCTTTATCCCGTACCAAACCAAAATAGCCGCGAAACCAACAATAATTTCGTAAGTAGCATTGGGTATATCGGAAGCAATGAGTCAGGCTTGACCGGCATTAAATCCACTCTTAACGCCACTTCGTCATTTTTCAGGCAGAGGCAAATAGTCACTAACTCACACTCCGGCCGCAAACAAATTACCTATTCTTTTTTGCCTAATAGCATTACGAAGTTCTTCAGTTTTTTCGCGTAACTCGGTAGTTAATCTGTGATTATCTGCACTTGTTTCTGTATTTTGCTCCAAATTTTTTTCTCTGTTTTTGATTATTCCGTCTTTTTCGTTGAGTTGGGTTTGTTTGCTTCTGATTTCGGCATCTCTTTCTAGCTCTAAAAGATCAAATTTTCCTTGATCTTCGATTCGTAATTTTTCAAGGTCGGTGATTTTCTTTGTCAGTTCATTCCTCACACTTTCTCTTTCTTCGCGAGCCTGTTGCAGTCATTCCTCTAATTGCCGTTTTTCGCTTTCTAGTTGTTGCACTTTTTCTTGCTTCTCCCTTAATTGTTGTTCGAGATTAGTCATGTCATTTTCTAACTTATTTAGTTTTCTAACTAACTCGAGGATTTCAGTTCTTTTGGTGTGCAATATTTTTCCTAAATTAGCCGCTTCTTGTTTTAAATTTTCCGCATCTGTTTTTAAAGTGTTAAGTCGTTGCGTTTTGTTCTTGATTTCGACTTGTAAGGCTCCGATTCAAACTAAGTGACCTTGACGTTCTTTTTGCAACTCGGAACATTCTTGGCGTAATTCCTCTAGACTAGCTTTTTCCGGACTAACCAAGGTGCGGTTTTTCTTTAGTCTTTCGGCTACTTCAACAGCTTTTTCTTGGATAAAAACATTGAAACTGTTCACAGTGAAAATGTTAATAATGAATCTGCTTTTTTAATGTCCGATTTGGA